GTGACAATCCCCCCAAAAGAAATCGTTCACATGTAACCTGTGTACACCACTGAACACCAAAGCCAGCTCTTGGCAGAATTCAGAAAGTACCACGGATCTCTTCCATCCTTCTCCCCGGGTTCACATATGAAAAGTCTAATTTGCCATGAAACAAAGACGCCATCCTGAAATTACAACTGAACTCTGACAGGTGTTTCCTGTAATCTCATTAATACTGGACAAGAAGTCAGTAGCACATTAATCATTAGCCAATTGTTGAAAATTAACTAATGATCTCTAAGGACACCCACGGAGTCTTCATTGGTTACTCATTTATTCGCTCGTTTGACCTGCATTTCCTGACGTGCCTACTGTGTGCCAGGAGCAAACCCGCGCTCACAGAGCTACATCTCTGAACCGGACTCCAGTTTCACCCTCTACGAACTCCCATTAGAGTTTCATCCAAAGTCTGCTAACTAATTCAACCAAATGGTGGGCGCATGCCCCAAAGCCCATGTGCAGAACCACTGGACACAAATCACTTCCCATAACAGCTACTAAACAAAGTGGAAAAAGGGCAATGGCTATAAATAGAGACAGGGACCATGTTGCAGAGTCCAGTGAAGAAGTAAGTATGTACGTGGGCAGGGAGGGTAGGAAGCAAGGGGCGCTCGAGGGTCAGAGAAGGCTGGGCCCTTGAGCTGTCCTGGAAGAGCAGCTACAAGCTTGGCATGGTGCACTACGTAAGAAATGTGAAACGACAGAGCAAAGACCATGTCTGTGAACGCGGAACTAGCACCCACCCTATTGTCAAGCCCACAGTCGGGCTATGTGACTTCTGGTACTATATTCCACCTCACCCTACTCTGCAAACCACATGGCCATGCAGATGGAATGAGCTTGTCCAGTTAACACTACCTACAAGACATAGAAAAAAGCAACCACAGTGCCTTATCTGACAGCATCCCGAGTCTCTGTGGTATACCCAGGCACACTGATGTGTCCGCATCCCGGGATAGCTTCTCAGAGGGCCCCTACCACGCTCTACTACTTGGAGTCATGGAAGCAGAGTCCTGTCTCTGACTCCATCTCTGAGAGCTCCTGAAAAGTCCTCAGAGAGGCCTGTCACTCAAGAACATCCTCAATTTAACTCAGCAAAAGGGCAGGGTACCTCAGGAGGTACACTCCTGAGACGCCTGTGCACTTGGCAGTCCCAGACATTGACTTACTGAACATCTACTGTGTACTACTGTGCCAGGCGTGGGTCGAGGAGATGAGTGGGACACTAAGTAAGACAACTCACGAAAGACCACAAGAGGAAGATTGTTCAAGTCTTCAGATCTGGGTCAGAAAGGTCTCATATAGGAGGCCTAGGCTTGAGATGATTGTGCGGCTACGTGGGATCATCTCAGGGGAAGAAAACAGCACCAAGAAAAAGACAGGACATGACAAGCAGCAGAGGGGAGCACTTGGGAGCTTGGGGTGAATAAACAGAGAAGGGAACAACAAAGGCCAAGAGGCCCCCAGTCACGAACTTAGGCCTCGCCCCTGTGGGCCATGGGAGCCACAGAAGCCTCAGGTCCAGGCCAGAAAAGCGTCTGATAGTTGGAGGGATAAAGAGGAAGGGAAGAATGGCAACATTCTAAAAACAGACATATGAGTCTCAACAAGATGAGGTGAAGAGTGGGCAAAACTTTTGTTCAGTTTAAAAACTTCTTTCATGAGACCTGGTCAGAAGGAAGCTAGCCCTCCCATGGTGCCAAGGGGGCTGGGGCAGACAGCAAGGATGCTCTGCACGGTAAGTGTGCAGGCCCCTCTCAGACGATCTGAGAGGGGCAGAGCAGTGAAAGAGAGCCTGTGGGGGAAGAGGAGAGGGGACAGCTGTCCTAACGGACACTGTTCGACCACATGGTTTGCTACGGGAAGCCGAAGACTGGAACAGGAATGAAGTATAGTGTGTTTCCCCCAGGGAAATGTGATTTACAATCACTCCCCATTCAGACACCTGACGCCGAAAAACCTTGGTGCCAGCAAGGAGAGAAAGGAAGCCATACACACTTTAGGAGGAATGGAGGAGGTACAGCTCCTGGGAGGGCATTACTGTGGGAACCCAGTGAGCCTCACCGTTTCCATGGCTTCAGCCTCCACTCAGCAAGTCCACAAATGAAAGCTGCATAGATACTTAGTGTCCACGCTTAAAAAATAATAGTAACAACAGTCTAACCCTGGGAAAACTTGTTGCCAGCAAGGTAGTCTCCAAGTCCCCAACGCTGGATGTGTTTACACACAACACAGACCAAACCCAGACTGGCCCCCAGGGGATGGTCACATGCCATACCCAACCAAAGTATTCATTTCACGACAAACGACCTGAAATGGGCAGGCACACATCAGCCATAAGCTAGCCCTGTTTCTCAGTCTGAGGGCTTCTCTCTCTCTCTCTCTCTCTCTCTCTCTCTCTCTCTCTCTCTCTCTCTCACACACACACACACACACACACACACACACACACAGAGAGAGAGAGAGAGAGAGAGAGAGAGAGAGAGAGAGAGAGAGAGAGAGAAAATTGCCAGAGCCCGGATCCACCCAGCTTTGCAGCCATGTAGGCTTCTGCCCTTTGCTTTGTCATTCACATTAAATGAAAGGTATTTACTACAGATGAGAACGAGCTTTGCCCAACTGCCTCGAAACCAATCCCCAAAATAGAGCAATCGCTTTGGTACAAATTGGGTCAAATGTACAAAAAATAAAAAAATTTTAAAAACCCTGACTCCCCGGTGGGAGGACAGACATGGCATGGGACCTTACTCAGAGTCAGGGGTAAATCCACCAAGATCCTCCCTTCCCATAGTGGGAAAGGAAACGTTTGAAGTCAAGCAGTGTATAAACTCATCTGACCATGTGACCATCCAAGTGGAAGCAAATCAGGGACTTTAATGCCCAGAGTTTGGGGATGCTCAGTGAAGAAGTCAAAGGAATAAATATTGGTTTTCAGTAAGGCTGGCCAAGCTAATACACGACCCAGCTCTGGTCAGAACAAGCCTAGTACTTCAGATCTACCCAGAAAGGACCCACTGGGAAGGGCTAAAGGGGAAGAGGGGAGATCTCGCTATTACCCTCGTGTCTTATTTCCTTACTTTTGAGCTGAGATGTCCAAATGGCCTGCACTTCTATTGGTGTCCTGAATTTCCTTAGGAGGAAACAAATCTGACTATTAATTGGCTTACCCATTCAGCTACATTAATTATTCAACTGACAGAAATTAATCTGCCATTCTGAAAGGTATTTATTTTCTATGTTTGTTTAATCATTTCTCTTGAGCTACAAAAAGCAACAAACTGGGTCACCACTCACGTTGTTAAATTTGGTAACAAGGCTAACACCATCTGTGGCCTAGACTACAATGACCCATCCCCATTGACGGAGGCCTTCCACCACTTCCGCGTTTCCCTTTTAAAGTGATAATCTAAAGTCTACAACTAACTAAAGGTCATTTAAAATGTCCAAAGTCCCGCAGGTAATCTCTCACGGCAGAGGGAGGGCGTGTGTGTGCATGTGCATGTGTGTGTGTGTGTGTGTGTGTGTGTGTGTGTGTGTGTGTGTGTGCGTGTGCGTGTTCATTCTTATTAGGCCATAGTTTTCAGGAGTAACAGCCAAAATTTTTAATTCTTTAGAAAGCAAACTGCCAAAACCCAAATACAAACAGACATCATGTTACACCTGAAATATATACAGCATTTAAAATGTCATAAGAAATCCTGAACATAAACCATGAAAGCCCAATTCATAAAAGCATAGCTTCACCTCAGGCTGCCAGCCAACCTCTGCCTGACCCAGGAAAGCCTAGTGCACAGCGCTTTTGCCTTTGCATAGCTAAAAATACTTCCACACCAGAATCCAAAGCTAATGGAGCCGCCTAAAAGAGAACCGAGCTTCCTACTACCCAACATTCCCTCCTTCATCTACCATTCTATGTGGTTTGGGATTGTGAAGAATTAGCCCTTGCGAGAAGGATGCAGCAAGGCCAAAAAATACCAACATGGCTTCTGCACAAGGAGGACAACAAAATGTTACAGGTTTTTAAATAATCCTAGAGATCTGAGCCAGTCTCCTTGACTGCCATGTGGGTGAATGGCAATGCAAAAAGGGGCCAAGATGTGCCCCCCAATATACCTAGTGGGCAGCTGGGTGGGACAAGATCCAATTTCAATCCAATGTTCTTCAGTGCCTTTCTTTTTAAAAACTCTATCAATTTTTCCCCAAAGGAAGTTCCATGAAATATGAGTTTCATGATATCAAACTCTTCTGCCAAAAAACTGCTTAAAGAATGCATAACCAATTACTTTCAGTGACTGGCTGAGTTAAACAAAATGAAATCTGTTTTGAACTGTACAACTTCCCACAGATTTTTCTCAACTCATGTACACTGTAAATTTTTAAGAGGGCAATAAAGTATATGGAAGCATCCTGGAGCATTTAACCATAGATTCGTTTAAAAATCTACTTGAATTATTTTTGAAGGCTGTGGGGTATAAACTCCATTGTCATACTGATTTATTTCCCAAATTGCATTCTATATAATTAGATTTGTTGTAATCTACATCTATAAAAATTAACGGTTTGCATACAAAATCCATGTTAATTCTTATTTACCAGAAAAATTAACCACGGTATCTACCACTCAAAAATAACGCTGTATTTTTTAAGAGCTAACATTATGTACCAAAAGCCTGTGGAAAAAGAAAAGTTACATTAAAACCCTTCTGCAGATTTCTCCCATAAAAGTTCCATTTCTATTTATATAAGACTCGTGACTTTGAACACTTTCATTCAGCAGAAATCTAAGAATTCAGGTCAAATATAAAAACCAGTAACAACAACATAACCGCACTGTTACAAAGCTTTGGAAAATACAGCACACATAATCGTAAACCACACCATGCACAAAGCTGACTGCCAGCTTAGGTACAAGACAGAGGGCAACCGTACACTGCCACAGGCAGAAACTCTAAGTCACTTACCAAGTTATGATTTGTTGAATTAGAATCATCTTCAGGGAATGGGATGTAAATAGCTAAGGCCACACAATTGGCAAAAATAGCCAATAATATAAATATGTCAAATGGTCTGAAAGATTTTGTCAAGGTACATATGCATTATGCAAACATCAGATACCCCTCTAATCATGTCCCCAGTCATTACTTTTAAGATGAAAATCGCCTACCCATCACCCACCCCCATCCCCTTACCTGCCCACAACCATTCTGTGATTACTGAGTTTTCAGCAGAAGTAACTTTCTCTGGCCCCTCACGCTAGGTTGTCCTATCCTGCGACCTCCATCAGCCCTTTCTCCTACTGCGAGGATCATGTTACACCTGTTCATAGGTGGACATTGTATATTAAAACCTGGGAGTAAAAAGCATCTCGGTAGGTCACGGTATAAAGCAGTTCTCTGCTTCCTGTGACTTAGAAAGTGACAGGGATCTTACTAAATCAGCTGTCAGAGACACAGACGGATAAGCAGTATGACACTGGCCTTTCCCACAGATCCTTGCCCCCATGTTAGAGCCATTTTCTCAGAGACTGTTCCTGGCTGGAAGTCAGTCTAAGCTCCGGATGGGGACCTGTCCAGGCAAAGACATTGGGACTATTTCCATCTTCTCTGTGACCCTGTGTGACATGTCCCCGCACCTCAGATGCTGTGATAATCAGGCTTCCCTGCTCTGCCTTCTCTACCAGAGTAATCAATAACTGTAACTGTTTCAGATTAGAGCTAGGCTCCACTCGCTTCATAATGTGCTGCTTCTGTGTTCAATTTGTAAACAAATTAAATTTAAAAGCCACCAGAAATCAGCACCAGACACTTTCAAAACAGACTCTCATGATTTAAAATCTTGGAGGGCTGTCTGGAAGAGTCACTTTGAGATGAGCCTTTAGCAGACACTTGCTCAAGCATTCTGTTAGTAAGAGGCATTGTCAAAACCGGCAACCCAGAGTTTGACATCTACCCATATAGCTGTTTTTCATCCCTTTTCAAACAGCAGATTTGTTGAGCATATAGGACTAATATGCCAATTCCTGGGCTTGATTTCAACAGTGCTCATGTATAACACTCACCCATAAGAGGTAAGGCAGCGGTTTTCTTAAATCCCCCACAGGTGCTAAAGATTCAGGGATAGGAACAGTCTCCTGCTAATGGCCTTCTGGGAACCCCCAAAGTGACGTAAGGAACAAATACCCCTGGCCTGCCTGAGATAGATAACTTGGGGATCTATAAAGCCTCACCTCTTTGAAGAGCTCGGAAAACTCACTGGAGCAAGGACAGGAATCACATTATCCTCTTACTAACTTTGATGGGTTTATTTTTAAGCCAGTTAGCTTTAATCATATTGATTTCTCAACTCCATTATAAAATCTTTTACCCATGGATCTGACTTTAGGAAGACTTCAAATTCTCTTTTCATTTTTTTTTTCCTCTTCACAGGTCCCCTCTGACACTTTAAGTCAACAGCCCTGAAGTTATTCCCTGTAAAGACACACTAAGAACTTCCCCTCCCCCACACCACCTTGCTTCCTCTCCTAGGTCTCAGTAAAGACCTAAAATGATAAAGCTGCAAATCTGAGAACTGTGAACACTGCGCAGGCAGGCTAAATGTAAGACTCTGAGTGTGTCCTTCTTGGCAGTGCTCTGAATCCAGTCAGCAGACAGAGGCTATCTCACTACCACAACAAACAGGTGGGTCTCACCAACAGCTTCTTAAGAGGGGAACACGTCGCCCACCTCAACCCGCTTGCCAGCCTATAACAACAAAGTGGCTTCTCCCAGGGCTGACTGACTGAGCTGCTGAAGAAAGATGTCTATAGCCTGTTCCCTAAAATGGAAGGGGTCATTTACTACCTAGCTGTTCTAGAAATGGCCCCCCTTGTAGACAGACATCCTGAACTGGCAGCCATGTCTCCTAAGACCCAGCCACACACCTGCCCCTGGCAGCTCAGGAAAGGGAGACAGTGGTGCGACCCAGGAATTCCTTCTGACATACAAACTGCTGTGTGCAAACTCCTGTGCATGAAGGGAAGCAGCACTTCCTTCCACAGAAAATGAAAGCCTTTTTTCAGAGGTCTCTGCTTATTCCAAGTCACCTCACGCCAACCTCAGAAGCGGGGTATGTTGCCAGCAAGTGCGCACCGCCTCTCAACTCCAGTGAGACCACCTAAGCACACCCTAACTTAGCAGCCCCCTCTTGGCCTGTGTGATGTTCTGTCCTCAAACTAGAGACTTTCAAGAGAAAATGTACACCCACAGCCCCAAGTATGTGAGAAACGCCATAACTCACTCTAGAGGAGAGACATCTGTGCTAGGGGAAAAAGCACGTGAAAACCTTCATATCCTGCCCTGGCATTCAGCTGCTCTCTCCAAAACCTTTCTAGACAGTTGCTTCATTTTAACTCCTGTCCATGAGCAGACAAAATAAACGAGCTAAGACAGAGATCATGCAGACAGCTGCCTCAGTGGGTACCTAGAATTTTAGGGGTCTTCAGCTCCACTTTCTAGCTGGCACCCAGCAATCTTACAACATGGTTTCTCCCTCCTCTGAGCCATGTACACACCCCTGCCTGCTGCCAGGAAATACTCAGAAGGCCTATTGGCCCCAAACACCCTTCTGGGAAAATGGAATGCTTTATTTTACCCAGCCCAAAAAAGCATATGATTAATTAGAAAGCATGAGCTCAAGAGAAGGAAGGCTTCCGCCAACCTTTCTAGGCGGTGGAGCCTGGCCCCCAAGTCTGGGGAGGGGAATAAGCAGGTAGAAGCAATATTGTTTTTCAAGTTCTGGGGTGTGGCAACCATGCTGAGGGCAATGAAAGTTCAGTTTTAAAAATACAGAGACCCCCAGAAGTGTAACTCCAGTGCAGTCTGAGGCTATAGTCGGATATATATACACACACATGTGCGACACCTGCCAGCTCCTCCCGAGACAGTCAATTGTCACTCACAGTGCTTGAAGGACGCAGCGCTTGCCAGCCTCTCCTGCACTGCTCCTGTGTCCTCCTGGCTACATGGAACTTTTTTCTTTCTTTCTTTCTTTCTTTCTTTCTTTCTTTCTTTTTTTTGTTTAACAAAAGGAAATTCCAGGAAATCATAGCATTAATCAGCCAGTGATAATAAGTAATAATAACAGCAAAAGTAATCCCTCCCTATGAAGCAAGTGTTCACGTTTACAGCTACCTGAACAATCAGAATCACCAAATAGCAGAGCCAGAAGCAACCATAGCGTTCACTATAGACGCAAAGGCAGACTCCACTAAAGGTCACTTCCAGTACAGGCTGAAGATAGTCTCAATCTTTTTGTTTTTATTTATTTATTTATTTATTGAATCAGCCTACCTTATCTTCAACAAGTTAAATGCATCTAACTGCCCCACAAACCCTCATAGCTTTAAAGCTATCCAGCAGCCTATGACCAAAGGTCACTTTCATATTTTAACTCCCTACCACTTTGAAGTTGCAGTCTTCACTTCCTTCCCCCAGTGCCACACCACACACACACACACACACACACACACACACACACACACGTCAAGGCTAAATATACCCGTGGAGCCGCCCTCCACAAGCTGAAGAGAGCTGAGAAGATAGGAAGCTGTAGTCCATGAAACCTCTTGCCTACAGCTTCTATTGCTCACATTCCAGAATGCTGAAGAAGCCTTCGATAAGTGTCACTGCCGACAGCAAATCCTTCTGAAGCACAGATGGTAAATGAGAAAGACTTCCCACAGAAAAAGGATACTTCCATTCCACTATACTAATGCAGGCTCTTCGGATGGGGTTATTGAGAGATAAACAGAAAAGAGCGCGGGCAGGCCGGCTGTTGGATGAGTTACCCTGTTTTTTGCTCTTGGCGTATTGCTGACGTTTTCTTTGGGAGAGAGATCCTACAGGTGGGGGGGCGGAGGTGCTCATGGTCTGGGCGGCCTTGGCCTGTCTAGCAGCATCGATTGCAGCTTGCCAAGACAGGACAGTCTGCTTGGAGCTGTTCGGCTGAGAAGCTGGTCCTTCACCAGAAATAGGGAGTCTGGAGCCTCTTGCATAGTTTGCCTCTGAGGAGAAGGAGAAAAGAGTTTTAAAAACAAAACAAACAAAGAAAAGAAAATTTCCGTCCGTATTATCTTTAAAAAGCAAAGGTGTCTCCCATCAATAAAAGGAATCATTCTTGTGTTTCTATTTGAACTTTGTGTCCCATTTTTCACAAGTACTGGGGTTTGGTCAGGCAACGCAACAGGAAAAGTCCACAGTGCTCTGCTCGGAGTGTCTGTCAATCATGCAGGGTCATTGCTGCACCACCCCGATCACATTAATACTTGTCCATCCCTGTGTCTTCAAAAGGAATCTTTTAGTGCATGTCTCTGACACGTTGAGGCTGTTCTCAATTCTCCCTGTGTCTTCTCTGACTTTGAAAACACATGGATCTCTCATGGCCTAACAGAAGAGCACAGCTCCCTTTCTCTGAACGTACTAACACACACAGCCAATAATTAAATAGTCTTAACCACTTTTCGGGTGTTCCTCCAAGATCTTTCCACAGCCACAAATGCTTTTTTTTTCCCAGAAAAAAAAAAGAGTCTTCTCTGGCACCAGGCAATACCAAGAGCCCCATAACAAATATCTAGATTATGCACTAACACTTCCTGCAAATGAAAATTCATGATGCTTGAGACTCATTTCCTCCACAAGCTTCCGAAAACAGAAAAACATCTTTAGGGCTTTTTTGCATTTTAAATTGCAGCAGCAGCAGCAGCAGCAGCGGCAGCAGCAGCGGCAGCGGCAGCCAAGCCACCATCCAGTCAGCCTGCACCCCTACACCTAAGAGACAGGATGCATTATGCCACAGAGCCTCAAGGCCTATGCAAGAATTAACTCATTGGCTGGAGCTGTTACAGAGTAGCATCCAGGTATACACAAGACGAAAACCCAAGGGGGCCTCCATGTCAATGTCCCTGAGCGACAGGCCATTCCTTGGAAGGTCTCACAGGTGCCCACACTGGATCACCATCGCCTCTGCTAAAGCAGAAGTCAAAGCGAGAGTGGTGACAGAGAGGAAGGAGGGATGGGCGTTTGCAAAACCAATTATCACTAAGTAAAGAGTCCAGGCAATCACAGGTCTCCTGGCCGGCAAGACTGAGACAGAAGCAAAGCAGGCAGGCAGCACACAATCTGAGCTCAGGGACTAGTCTTGCCAAGCTTTTCCTTTGAGATGCGCTCACCGGGAAAGGTGTCAAGCATACCAGGCTTGGGAGACAGCAACGACCTCCAAAGAGGGAGGCTGGCCAAAAGCCACCCCAACCCCCTAGACCCAGCCCCGCTCGTGTAGAAACTGCACGTGGTGCTGTGACCGGGGCTGAGTTGCAGAGCCCCACAGCGGCAGCGACTCTCTGGGCATTGCTAGGTTACGGACGTGTGCACAGGAGCCGCAGGGAGCGGGAATACACACTCCACCCGACCCTGTTCCCCCATATCCCAAGACCTGGGCTTCTCTCAAGAGAGGATGGGTGTGCACTTTACCAAGCGACCCAGGGGGTAAAAGTGGAATGGTCCTAGAATTTTCCTGATGCTAGGGACCTTCTTCTTAGTCAACCAGGGCGGGGAGGGGGGAGGAGGGGAAGGAGAGAAGAGACTGGAGAGGGGGCTCAGGCTGAAGACTAACACCCTCCTCTTCCATCGCTCGGGGGCAATGAAAGAAGAAAGTTGAGCCCGGGGACACTAAACCTGAACCACCTCACTCGCACCCCTTGGCTGCACAGTACTCCACACACCCAATGGCCGCCCCCACCCCAACAAATGCAGAATTAACTCTGACATTCAGGGCCTGAAGAGGGAGAGCGGAGTAGCTGCCGCGCATCTCCCCTTTCTATGTAGATGACACCAAGCCAGAAGCATCATCTCCAACCCCCTCAATCCACCCAGTGCATGGGAGATGGGGGGGGGGGCGTTGGAAGAGGAGGATCATGATAGGATGAGGTTTAGCAGCGGGTACCCGGGCTCTGGCTGCTCACCATTCGCGTGGTCCTCTTGCTGCTGCCGTTGATGCTGCATTTTTTTCATCATCATCATCATCATCATCCACGAACATTTATTGAGCGCCTACTGTGTGCAGGGCACTGTGCTCAGCGTAAGGGAGGGGAAGGAACGGGTAAGGGGGGTAACGGATGGGTAGGAGCCCCGGTCCCTGCCCTTATTTTCGCTTCAGCAGGGGGTGGGGAAGGACAGAGACAAATAACCAAAAATAAGGATAATTTATAAAAACCGCCTGCCACCCACGCTCCTTCTTTTTTCAAAAATGGAGCAAAATAAACTTTTTGTAAAAAATAAAATCAGATGTATATATTATCTTGATAATATATACATGTAATTTTTTTGCTGCAAAGGAGAATTGGCTTGGTCCCCTCCTCTAGCAGAGGGACGCCGCGGTGGTGCCCGCCCGGCCTCCCGGGCCACTCGGCGCGCCCCCCATG